CTCAATGTACTTCTCCTGAGACAACCACAACTTTCTGGCATTCCTGTCTCGTGTAATTCTTATCCCAAGAATCTGTTTTGCTGGCCCCAAGTCTTTCATAGCAAAAGACTTGCTCAACTGTTCCTTTAGTTGATTAATTTTAGAAGCACTCTTGCCGAAGATCAACATATCATCAACGTACAACAGGAGGATAATAAAATCATCATCAGAGAGTTTTTGAAGGAACACATAATGGTTAGAAGTAGTCTTCATGTAACCTTGCTTCGCCATAACTGACTCAAACTTCTTGTACCACTACTTTGGTGCCTGTTTTAAGCCATATAGGCTCTTCTTTAGCTTACAGACATAGTCCTCTTTTCCCTTGACTTCAAAACCTTCTGGTTGCTCCATGTATATTTCTTCATCCAAATCACCATGAAGAAAAGCAGTCTTTACATCCATTTGCTCAATTTCTAAATCTAGGCTGGCTGCTAGTCCAAGAACAACACGGATGAAAGACATTTTAACAACTGGAGAAAATATCTCATCAAAGTCAATACCTTTTCTCTAGTTGAATTCCTTGACAACCAGTCTAGCTTTGTACCTTGGCCGTGAGGAGTGTTATTCCTGCTTCACTCTATACACCCACTTGTTTGTCAAAGCTCTCTTACCCTTAGGTAGCTTTACCAACTCAAAGGTATTGTTCTCATACAAGGATTTCATCTCATCTTGCATGGCTTCAATCCACTTTTCCTTGTGTTCATCTTCCACAGCTTCAGCATAACATTCTGGTTCACCATTATCAACAAAATTAATTTCATAAATATCAGAAGAGTACCTTGTGGAAGGCTGTCTAACTCTTGAACTTCTTCGAAGCTGAGGTGGAGTTGAAGCTTCTGGAACTAGGAGTTCATCATCATTAATGGGAACATCTGTAACATCTTGTTGCTCAATTTGGTTATCGTCTCCAACCTCTTCAGGAACCACTGTTGGAGGTACTATCTCAGTATCAACTGAGTCACCGTTACGAGAACCCAATTATTTAACCTGGTCAATATCCTCTATGGTCTGATTCTCCACGAACACAGCATCTCGGCTTCTCACAAGCTTCTTTTCAACCGGATCATAAAATCTGTAGTCAAAGTCATCTAGACCATAGCCAATAAACACACACTGTCGTGTCTTAACATCAAGTTTCGATCTTTCATCTTCCGGAATGTGCACAAATGCCTTGCACCCGAAGACACGTAGATAATCATAGGAAACATTATTTCCTGTCCATACCCGATTTGGTATGTCAAACCTTAAAGGAGCACATGGTGAGAGATTCAACACATGCGCAACAGTACTTAGTGCCTCAGCCCAGAATGTCTTTGGTAACTTTGCATGTGACAACAAACATCTAACTCTCTCAATCAAAGTCCTGTTCATCCTCTCAGCAACACCATTTAACTGAGGAGTCTTTGGTGGTGTTTTCTTATGGCGAATACCCTGCTCTACGCAATACCTATTTAGTGGCCCAATATACTTTCCTCTATTATCTGACTTTATGCATTTTAGCTTCTTCCCAGTCTGTCTCTCAACTAGGGCATGAAATTGCTTGAATATGTCCACAACTTGACTTTTATGCCTCAAAGAATAAACTCATAATTTCCTTGAGCAGTCATCAATGAAGGTAACAAAATAGCGAGCACCACCAAGTGACCTAGTTTTGAAAGGTCCACACGCATCAAAGTGTATCAGTTCCAATACCTCTGGTTTCTTCTTAGTCTCAGCAGAACTTTTAAAGGATACTCTGTTCTGCTTCCCTGCTAGACAATGAGCACACCTCATCAAATGAACATTGTTCAACCCAGCTAAGCTCTTTTTTCTGACCAGCATGGACATCCTCTCCTCAAATATATGCGCAAGCCTTTTATGCCATATATCATTCGTATCATCGTTCTTAACCGTATTGACAATATTTCCTGAGATCTTGGCCTGTAAAACATAAAGTGTAGAACACTTTGTGCCTCGAGCCACAACTAGAGAACCTCTTGTGAGTTTCCATTAGCCATTTTGGAAAGTATTACAATACCCTTCATCATCTAATTTTCCAGCAGAAATTAAATTATACCTGATATCTGGAACATGCTTCACATTTTTCAGAAGCAACTTGGTGCCATTGTTGGTTTCTAACTAAACATCGCCAACACCAACAATCTTTGCATTACCATCATTGCCCATTTTCACAACTCCAAAATCACTTGTTGCATAACTAACAAAAAAAATCCTTTCGAGCTGTAGCATGAATGGATGCACCACTATCAATTACCCAGTTTGTATCATGACTTGCCAAATTAATGGCATCTGTGTCACCATCATAAAAGATAAGAAAATCATGTTCAACTGTAGCAGCTACGCTATCATCATCATCACTACCATTATTCTTTTTAGAGTCTTTATTTTTCTGATTTTCTTTCTTCCATAGTCGGCAAAATTTCTTAATATGCCCCTTTTTGTGACAATGATAACATTCAACATTAGCAAATTTATTAGATTTACCTCTACTGTTATCTCTGTTTTTATCTTTACTCCTTGGACCCTTGCTTTGACTTCTCCCCCTATTTGTTGTAGCCAAGACCTCTGAATGTCGAGAGGAAGTACCTTGTGACCTTCGTCTTATCTCTTCATTCAGGACACCACTTTTAACAAGTTCTCATTACAACACCGTTAGGAGCAGAATTAGTTAAAGAAATCTTTAAAGTCTCCCAAGAATCTGGCAATGATGCTAGTACCATAAGAGTAAGGACCTCATCATCAAAATTAACTCCCATACCTGGCAATTGATCAACAATCCCTTGAAATTCATTCAAGTGATCCGCAACAGAACTACCTTCGTTGTATCTCAGCTGCACCAATTTTGTGAGATAAAACAATTTGTTGTTGCCAGTCTTTGAAGCATATAAATCTTCAAGTTTACTCCAAAGTGTCCTTGCATGGGTCTCACTACAAATATGATTATACACATTATCTTCAACAAATTTCCGAATAAAACCACATACCTGTTCATGCTCAAAAACCCACTCTTCATCTGATTTATTTCAGGTTTCTGGGTAGCAAACACGGGTAAATGCAACTTCATCACATATAGTAGATCTTTTATCTTATTCCTCCATATGTGATAATTTGTGCCATTCAAACTTGCAATTCTATTGAACTTTCCTTCCATAACTTCGCACAATAATTAACTTGAACCCGGGCTCTGATACCAGTTGTTGGGAAGAAAGCTCACAAAAATATATAATTAGCACAATAAAATAAATAAACAGCACTAAAATAACACCAAGAATTTTAACGTGGAAAAACCTCCTCAAGGCAAGGAGTAAAAAAACCACGGGCACAAGCCAGTAAACCTTCCACTATATAGATAATGGGTACAACAGAGGAGACTTCTCTAATTCAACGATTAGACGCAACACAATACAAGAGAAAATAACATACCCCGAGGCACAAGAATTTCTACGAAATCCACCAACTTCTTCTCGGCTAATTTTCTCACACTTGTATATCTCACACATATTTTCTCTCCTCTCTTTTTCTTCTTCTTGAACTCTCTCATATCCAAGGTAGCCAAATCCATGGCCTTTATATAGGCTTTACAAAGCCAACTCTTTTGTCTTTTCATTTGTCCACTTTAATCTACCATTAAGTGGACATGAATGAAGCCATTAATCAAAAAACCTTTCACTTCATCTTCCAAGCTTAATTGTTAAGCTTTTGGTCACCACCCTACCCACATTGGTGGGACCATCTAGCAACATATTCTCGCGTTCAAATGAGAACGGCGCGTCTAGGAGAGAACTCAGAGCGCATGACATCTGTCCACGTGTCTAGATCTAACAGATGAGAATCATTGGTTTTTTAAAAAAATGCGATGGCAATTTCGTAAATAATCGAAATCGATGTGCAAGTAAAATGTATTACAAGTGCAAGTAGCAGTTTCATATAGTCAATGTTGCAAAAATCGGGCCTAGGTGCCGCCCGGCCGCGGACGATTTGGCCAGAATTGGCGTCCTCCGCGGTCGGGCGGCTAGGCGGCCGCCTAGACCGCCTAGCTGGCTGAACCGGCCGAACAATTTTCATTTTTTTTTTGTTAAAAAGTGTAGAAACTTTGACAAGGCATAACTTTTGACTCAGTTGTCCATTTTGGACAATATTTTTTCCAAATTGCATATTTTTTCGAGACATATATATTCTTTTTTCAGATCGCGTATATATACATATACATACATACATATATAACTATATCTTTTATATATATATATATATATATATATATATATATATATATATATATAAGATATAATACTATATACATATATCATTGGTATTCACACTATACAACGCAGATGTGGCATACTGTTTTGTTCGAATAATAAAGATTAAATTTCACTTTTGGTCATTTACTATTTATATTTTCAAATTACATGCATGACTGTGTAATTTGTATTACATTTAGTTCTACTGTCTAATTTTATAGCCAATTTTTCGGCTAGTTATTCTCAAAATTTTAACAAGAAGTAATTTTTCGACAATAGTTGGCCGAAAATATTCTTTTAATTAGAATATATTATTTTTTTAAAATTTTTTTAATAATAATTAACTTGAAAATTGAATTATATGATCAAATGTGAATTGTGATACAACTTACATAATTATATATTTAATTTTAAAAATATTAATAGGTAAGAACCAAATTCGATACACTTACGACCAAAAGTGAACTTTTTTTCATAATAAATTAGTTAAGTTGGTCACGTTTTGCAATTTGCTTCCGTACTCATAGTTCTAGAGTGGTCCCTCCTGAATATTCAGATCAAAATCAACGCTTCAGAGTCCATCGTCAAAGTCAGTTTAAACCTAGAAAATTCTCGAACCAACCAGAGCAATGTAGAACTGGGAAAACCGCCCACACAAGAAAAGAAAGAAAGAAACCGGCATGGCACGCGCACCATATCTTCATCCATTCTGGAAAAGAAAGGAAGCTCAGAACATTCTGGAAATCCAGCTCTTCCATTTATAATCTCCCCCACCCTTCCCGTCCCTTGCATTCTCAAATCTTCAGAGCTCATTCGTATTCCACAGATTCCTTGTTTCGTATTTGGCTTTTCGTTTTTTTGTGATTGTTTATTGAGAGAAAAGAAGAAATTATGGCCGGAAAAGGTGAAGGACCGGCGATCGGTATCGACTTGGGCACCACATACTCCTGCGTCGGAGTTTGGCAACACGACCGTGTAGAGATCATAGCCAATGATCAGGGGAACCGAACCACTCCCTCCTATGTCGCCTTCACGGATACTGAGCGTCTCATCGGCGATGCCGCCAAGAACCAGGTCGCCATGAACCCTACTAACACCGTCTTTGGTACGTTCATCTTCTTCTTATTTATTTTATTTAATAATGTTGATAAACATAAGTATAAATGCGTTTTATGTGATTGATTCTGATGTGATTTGGAATTTGTTTAATTGGAATTGATGTAGATGCTAAGCGTTTGATTGGGAGGAGATTCAGCGATCCATCGGTGCAGAGCGACATGAAGTTATGGCCATTCAAGGTGATTGCCGGCCCCGGCGACAAGCCGATGATCGTAGTGAGCTACAAGGGAGAGGAGAAGCAATTCTCGGCAGAGGAAATCTCTTCAATGGTTCTTACAAAGATGAAGGAGATCGCAGAGGCTTTTCTGGGAACCACGGTCAAGAACGCAGTGGTCACGGTCCCTGCTTACTTCAATGACTCGCAGCGACAGGCCACGAAGGACGCCGGCGTTATTTCCGGCCTCAATGTCATGCGTATCATCAACGAGCCCACCGCAGCGGCGATTGCGTACGGGCTGGACAAGAAATCCAGCAGCTCCGGCGAGAAGAACGTGCTGATTTTCGATCTGGGCGGCGGCACTTTCGATGTTTCTCTGCTCACGATTGAGGAGGGGATCTTCGAGGTCAAGGCCACCGCCGGCGACACGCATTTGGGCGGCGAGGATTTCGATAACAGAATGGTGAACCATTTCGTTCAGGAGTTTAAGAGGAAGAACAAGAAGGATATCAGTGGGAATCCCAGGGCTTTGCGGCGGTTGAGAACGGCGTGCGAGAGGGCTAAGAGGACTTTATCCTCCACTGCCCAGACCACCATTGAAATAGATTCTCTGTTTGAAGGGATTGATTTTTACACCACCATTACCAGGGCGAGGTTCGAGGAGCTAAACATGGATTTGTTCAGAAAATGTATGGAGCCGGTGGAGAAGTGCTTGAGGGACGCGAAGATGGATAAGAGCAACGTCGATGATATCGTCCTCGTCGGCGGCTCCACAAGAATCCCCAAGGTCCAGCAATTGTTGCAGGATTTCTTCAACGGGAAGGAGCTCTGCAAGAGCATCAACCCAGACGAAGCCGTGGCCTACGGCGCCGCCGTCCAGGCGGCGATCCTGAGCGGCGAAGGGAACGAAAAGGTTCAAGATTTACTCCTACTCGACGTCACTCCCCTGTCTCTCGGTCTGGAGACCGCCGGCGGGGTCATGACTGTTTTAATCCCCAGAAACACCACCATCCCCACCAAGAAAGAACAAGTTTTCTCCACCTATTCCGACAACCAGCCCGGCGTTCTAATCCAGGTTTACGAGGGGGAAAGAGCCCGGACAAAAGACAACAACTTGCTAGGCAAATTCGAGCTCTCCGGCATCCCGCCGGCCCCGAGAGGCGTCCCGCAGATCACCGTCTGCTTCGACATCGACGCCAACGGGATCCTTAACGTGTCAGCCGAAGACAAGACCACCGGGCAGAAGAACAAGATCACCATCACCAACGACAAGGGCCGGCTGTCCAAGGAGGAGATTGAAAGAATGGTGCAAGAAGCCGAGAAGTACAAGTCGGAGGACGAGGAGGTGAAGAAGAAGGTGGAGGCCAAGAACGCCTTGGAGAATTACGCGTACAACATGAGGAACACCATCAAGGACGAGAAGATCGGCGGGAAGCTGGCGGCGGCGGATAAGAAGAAGATCGAAGACGCGGTGGAAGAAGCCATACGCTGGCTCGACGGGAACCAGCTGGCGGAGGCGGATGAATTTGAAGACAAGATGAAGGAGGTGGAGGGCATCTGTAATCCGATCATAGCGAAGATTTACCAGCAGGGCGGAGATGCCATGCCCATGGATGATGAAGAGGTTCCTCCTGCCAGTGCTGCTGGACCAAAGATTGAAGAGGTTGACTAAAACCAACCAAATTTTCTTCATGCGCCTGGGATGTTGTTTTCATTGTTTTACTTGTGTTATTATGCCATTGATTTTCTTGCTTAATTAATCACCAACCCTTGTTTTGAGGCATTATTAAATGATTATATATAGTTTTTTTTTTTTCCTTACATTACCTAAATCACTTTTTTTCATGTGAATTTAAATCGATAACTTAATCAAAATTGGAAATTAACAAATAATTAATGTACTTTCAAATAATATAATTTTAATGGCAATTTATATCCTACACCACGGCGCGCGTTGCACTATGCGCTCAGATGCAAAACGATGTCGTTTTAATTATTTTTTTTTTGAAATTTTTCGCCCCAGTGAATGGCAGTAGTTTTTTTTTTAAAAAAAAAATTCGATGTTCAAGAATGTATATAATGTTATACTAGAATACACATAATGTTATACATGAATGTACATAATTATATAACAAAATATACATACTCTTTTTAAAAGATAATACACATAATCTAACATAATACATAATAAACATAAACTTTTAACATAATACACATCAACTCTTAACATAATACACACGAATTTTCTGATTCGGATGTACATAATTGTATAAAAAGAATGTACATAATTGTATAAAAAATACACATAACTGTAGGAACCAATACACATAACGTTGTGAACGAATACACATAACGTTGTGAACAAATACACATAATCTCAGCAACTTCCTACCGCGTCTCCCAACACTATCTCAAAACGACGTCGTTTTGGGAGGCGCGCGGCGCACAGTACTATGTGCGCCGTGGTGTAGAATATAACGATTGAATTTTAATATACAAATAATATACCTCATAGAATATTGAAATGTATTATTGCAAATTATTGCAGCACAATGGATCAAGGCCCAAAAAATGTACTCTCTATCTCATTTCATTTTATTATTTATTATTTATTGATTAAATTAACATTTTCTTAATTAAAAAAATTAATTTTTTCTCTTAATATATATTTTTAGTATAAATATATAAATTTTATATTCTAATACTGAATTTAAGATTATAATTTATGTTGAGAAGAAACGAAATAACTTATAAGAAATTGAATTTAAGATTAATTTATAAGAAATTAAATTAAAACTAACAGCAGTCGATCCTCAAAAAAGAACTCCTAACCCAAACATCTCTCCCTCAATCGTTATGCCATGGAACCGTGTTCACCATCCATGGTGAACACAGTTCTAACGGTGTTAGTGCATCGTTATTATTTTTTTTTCCTAATTAATTACGTGACTTTTCTTCTTCATTTTCACATTTCGCGGTTTCACTTTAATTTGAGGTGAGCAATGATTTTGGACATTCATAAATTATGAATTCATGCCTGGACATTCACTTTGGAACCATGCCTACACATTCTCATTCGAAACCATGATTGTTCCTCTGTAGCGCAAGCTTCTTCAACATTCATAAATTATGACTTTTCTGTTATGAGATTATGAATTTTCTGTTATGATATTATGAATTTACAGTACATTCATAATCTCATAACAGAAAATTCATAATCTGACCAAACGCGCGTCATTAACACCATTAGCGATTTTTTTTTTTTTTTTTTACGTAGAAACGGCGCCGTTTGGACCTGTGTTCACCATTCATGGTGAACACGTTTCCAGGGCATAATTTGCCTCTCTCCCTTAGCCGTAAACTATGGTCCAACCTTGTTCCTTTTCCTCATTAAATCATCCCTAAGGACATCCTCAATAGTTGGGGATTTTACCCCAGATTTTTTTGAGCCATAACCATTTGGCCCAATAGACTTGTAGGCCCCATAAGTATCACGGTTCAAAATTTTAAATTCAATCCTAATTCAAAATGACATTCAAATTATCATCACACACATAACATGTTATGTGCCTTTAATTAATAAATTATGTGTTCATTACTATTAAAAAAATTATGCATTACATATTATTGTCTGTAGTTAATAAATTATATATATTATGCAATTAATATATTATGTACCTTTAATTTATTTATAAATATATAATATACTCCGTATAATATATAAATTAAATGTCATTTTAGATCATGTTTACAATCCATTGTTTAATTTGCCGGCATCACCACCCATCAACAAATTTTGCTTTGGTTATGATTGCATTTTTTTATTTTTTTCACAAAAAATAAAATAAAATCGTAACACTAAATTTTAAAACTAATTTTATTTTAAAAGTATTGAATGAATTATTTACTCTAAATCAACAAGTAAAGTATTCGTGATGCCAATTACTACAAAAATTGGCATCACAAATAGTTTTCTTGCCGAACTTTGGAGGTTCCGGGAAGGCCTCACATCTTGGTTATAGATTGCAAGCAGCTGATGACGAACTTCCAAGACTTTGAGCTTGTGCATGTCTTGCGTGAAGAGAACCAATGCGCAGATTTCTTGGCCAATTTAGGGCAGCATTTTGGTTGGGAGACCACGTTCTTGACGGACCCGTCGGCTGGAATAACCTCTCTTCTGGATCGGGATGCGAACATGGTGGCTACAAGCAGAGCTACGTATCTTTTCTGGAGTTCTTTAACTCATCTTTCATCAAAAAAAAAAAAAAAAAAAAAAAAAAAAAAGTATGTGCCCACGTATAAATAAACTATAATGGTTTGGAATAAAGGTCAAATAGGCAATTGAACTACACACCAAAATTTAATTAGACAATTGAACTCAACAAACATGCAATTGGGTCCCTAAACTAATCAATTTCATGCAATTAGTCTAATTTGCAGGTTTTTCAAGTTTCTAACAAGTCACTCCCAAATTTAAAATATTTTTTAAAAAGAGAAAAGGGTCAAATAGGCCCCTAAACTTTACCCCAAAGGTCAATTAGGCACTTAAACTTTAAAAAAGTGTAATTAAACCCTCAAACATGTCAAATTGGATCAATGAAGCCCAAAAATCGATAAATGACCTGTTATTACAGGTCATTTCAATTCCGACGACGAATGTCGGCCACCGGCAAAAAAATCCGACCACCGGCGGCAAAATCCGGCCGTCCGGTCGTCTTTCACTGGAGAAGACGATCTAGATCTGGCCGTCTTCTCCATAATGGAGAATACGGCCGTCTGGTCATCTTCTCCAGTGGAGAAGACGGTCTTCTTCTCCAGTGGAAGATGACCGGACAACCGGATTTTTTCGCCGGTGGTCGGAATTCATCGTCAGAATTGAAATGACCTTTAATAAAAGGTCATTTATCAGTTTTTGGGCTTCATTGATCCAATTTGACATGTTTGAGGGTTTAATTGACTTTTTTAAAGTTTAGGGGCCTAATTGACCTTTGGGGTAAAGTTTAGGGGCCTATTTGACCCTTTTCTCTTATAAAAATAATTATTTAAAATTAAAAATTTAAAAAAAAAAAAAAAAAAACGTCTCCATGCCGAAGACGAAGAATCTCCATGGCCAGAGACGAAGAAGGTTTCTTTGTCTACGGCCATGGAGACGAATCAATGGCCAGAGACGAAGAAACTTCTTCGTCTTCGGCATGGAGACATTTTTTTTTTAATTTTTAATTTTAAATAATTATTTTTAAAAAATATTTTAAATTTGGCGATGACATGTTAGAAACCTGAAAAACCTGCAAATTAAATTAATTGCATAAAATTGGTTAGTTTAGGGACCAAATTGCATGTTTTTTTAGTTCATTGGCCTGCATTTTGTGATTTTGGTGTGTAATTCGATAACTTATTTGACCCTTATTCCATTATATTTTTAAGAGATAATTGCCCTTTTAGTCCCTTCATTGTTGATTATTATGCAATTTAGTCAATCATTTTTAATTTTAATCAATATAATTCTTAATTTTTATCATGTTGCAATTTTTATTTTTATTTTGGAATACTATTGACTCTATTACAAGGTAGTATCTGTTCTATACTTTTTCTAATTATTGCAGCCCAAAGAGTGAATATCCAACCACCGAGGTTCGATCCTGTGACATTCCCTTAAGGAGAGCAATCGTTATACCTTGCACCACGGAGTACACAGCACTGTGCGCCTCGTGCCTCCCAAAACGACGTCATTTTGTTAAGTCAATGTAGGAAGTTGACGCAATTATGTACATTATAGTATACAATTATGTACATTTTTTATACAATTATGTACATTTTTTATACAATTATGCACATTTTTTATTACAATTATGTACATCCGAAACAGGAAATTTATGTGTATTATATTAAGAGTTTATGTGTATTATGTTAAAAGTTTATGTATATTATGCATTATGTTAGATTATGTGTATTATCTTTTCAAAAAAGAGTATGTGTATTTTTTTACAAAATTATGTACATTCTAGTATAAAATTATGTACATTTTAGTATACAATTATTTACATTTTCGAAACATGAGATTTTTTTTTAAGAGAAGTAACAGTGGACACAGGAAAGTGAAATTTTAAACAAAAAATAATAATTCAAAATGACGTCGTTTTGCACCAGAGCGCACAATGAAATGCGCGCCCTGGTGCACGATATAAATTGCCCAAGAAGAGCTACAGAGGTGTCATCTAAGCCCAAGGTGCTTGGCATCATGTTGCAAATTTAATTCTTCCAAGATTTAAAAAAAAAAAAAAAGCAAGAGAAAATGGTCAAATACACCTCTAAACATTACCTGATAAGTCAATTAGGTCCCTAAATTTTAAAAAAGTTTAATTACATTCTTAAACATGTCATATTGAGGCATTTAGATCCAAGAACAGGTAAATGACCTGCAATTGCAGGTCATTTTTTATTCCGACAACCGGTTGCCAACTCCGGCGGAAGGAGACCACTGGTCGCCATCCGCCGGTGAAGGTGACCAGTAGTCGCCTTCTCCATTGGAGAAGTCGACCTCTGGTCGTCCTCTCTAATGGAGAAGGCGACCAGATTTGGTCGTCTTTTCCGGTGATTTTTTTAAAATAGTTTTAGCGGTGGTCAACCTCAATAATTTAATAGTTTTAGCGGATCTCTCATTTGCAATCAACAAACTTTGTGAGTTCATGCACTCTCCAAATACTGAGCATTAGGTGACAAACAAGTTCTAAGGTATGTCAAAGGGACTCTAGACTATGATTTGCGTTTTACAAAATCCGACTC